TCCCCCTTTCCTTGGCCATCAAGTCTCCTCTCTCTTCCGTGTCTCTGAGGCCCATCTCTCCTCTTATTCCAGTCACCAGATCACTTAAGCCCATGTCACCTTTACTCTCATCACTTGGGTGACAATGGAGCCTTCTGACCACACCGTGATTACCCACTGACCCATCACCCTGCCACCAGCCTGGCAGCTTCTGAAGGTGGAGAGCTGTCCGGGTCTAGGATTGAACATTCCTGGCTTAATAAATGTTTCTAAAGACCTGGTCACAGCAGCTGCTGGGCACTGCCTGTCTGCAAGCCTTTTTCCAACTATCCAAGAGGTATTACAGGAATGTAGATGATATGGCCTGTACCTCTAAATTTCAAAGACATTGGAAAAGCAATGTATAAAATTTAATGCAAGAAACATGATTGTTTCTAATGAGCCATTTATGAAGTTCAACAAAAATCATGAAATTAGAAGGTGGTGTTGCAGCTGTAAGGTGGTCAAATGTTGATCAACAAACTGTGTGGCGCTACCTGGGCTAAACTACCTGGGGTAACTTTGTAAGGACTGTGTGTGTGTGTGCAAGCACACATGCATGTATATAAATTACCCCCAGAACACTGACCAATTTTTTTTTTTTTTTTTTTTTGCAGTACTGGGGATTGAACTAAGGACCTTGTACTTGAAAGGTAGGCATGGTGCCACTGAACTAAATCCCCAGCCCGTTAACCAAATTTGAGAATCATTAGTTACATTGATGTTTTTTCCTAACCTGATGTCTGTTTAAATTATGGCAGTTAAGAAGAGAGTCTCTGAAAAAAAAGTGCTGGGGATTTAGCTCAGTGGTTCCACCGCATGCTTTGCAAGCACAAGGTCCTAAATTCAATCCCCGGCACCCCCACCCCGCCAAAAAGAGAGTCTCTGCTTAGCTCATTAAAACCATTACAATAACATGAAGACTCTGACTTTTAAAAAAGCATTGTTAGTCATAAGTCACCCTTGATAAAATGAGAGCCAAAGTCACTTAACAAATTCTATCATTTTTCAAGGCTCTTAGGCTTATTTACTTGAAAATCTTCCCAAAAGCTCAGGTGACCAATAGGGTCCAGGTGCTGTTTTCCTATTCACCCCTGCCCTTCCAGCCCTCAGGACTAAACAGTAAGGACTGTACCTGGGGTCCTGTGTTCACTTGGGCTCAGTCACTAGCGGGGGAGGAGAAGGTGGAAGCTGGAGGAGACAGAGGCAACAGTTTTTCCTCACTCTGCTCTGGATTTTCTGGCAAAAGCAGCATGTCCCTCTGAAACTGCAACCCCTGATGTCTGTCTCTTCCTGTGCATCTCCAGCTTCTCCTGGGATAGAAATCACTTCCCACTGTAGCTAATCTCTCCATGCCTCACACCTGCTCGTGGCCCTGCAAACAGTCCATTTACTTCTCTTGAGCCACCTGAGTTGGATTCTGTTTCCTGCAGTGATCCCTGTTATTAAGTCTATAATAAGAAATCCTCTACTGGTGTCAGCTTGGGATATAGTGATATCCTGATGTGCTAATTACTGATCATATTAACTAGGTTAATGCTGGCTATTTCATTGATATGCTTAGAACATGACTAAATTTACAAACTAATGACTTGGAACTTATACCTTCAAGTTCTATTACCTTCTCAAAGTCAATAAGATAGTATCCTTAATGCCAACATATTAAAATGTTCTGAGGCTGCCTTTGAAGATTTCTCTTAGTGCCCATAACACATTATTTTGAATAATGCTAGAAATGGTCCTTTAATGGCAGATTTGATTCAGCTGAATAGGCAATATCACAATACATATAAGAAAATCAGTAATAATTTTATTATGTGTTAGTCAGCTTTCTGTCACTTTGACAAATTAGTTGAGATAAATAATCCACAAGGCTCATAGTTTCAGAGATTTTAGTCCATGGTTAGCTTACTCCATTGCTTTTTGGGCCTGTTGCAAGGCAGAAGATCATGGTGGGGAACACACAGTGAAGCAGATCTAGGAAGTAAACAGGAGGATGGAGTCAAGGCCCAATACCTCTTTCTAGGGCACGCCCTAGTGATCTCACTTCCTTCTGTTAGGTCTCACCCCTTCAAGCATCCACCACCTTCCAGTAACAACAGAGGCTGTTTAGCAAGCCTATAACCATGTCCTTTGGAAGATATTTAAGATACAAACTACAACACTGTCTTGGCCCCTAAAGGCTCATATCTATCCTAGAATGCAAAATGCATTCAGTCCATCTCTGATGGTCCTTAAAATCTTAACTGTTCCTGCATTGCTCAAAAATTCAAGTCCAAAGTCTCCCCTGAGACTTGAAGCAAACTTTTTAAATTTTTTTTGGTACCGGGGATCGAACTCGGGTCCTTGCGCTTGTGCAGAGGCAACGAAACCACTGAGCTAAATCCCCGGCCCACTTGAAGCGAACTCTTAGCTGTGAGTCCCTGTAAAAACAAAACAAAACAAAAAAACACTTCCAAAATACAATGGCATAGGGTAAATTTTCCTCCCAAAGGGAGGAAAAGAAAATAATAAAGAGAAATCAGACCAGCAGGAAAAACATTAAATCCTATGTCTCCATGTCCAACATCTAGGGAATATGATGGAATATGATGACTGGATGTCAGCTCCAAAAGGCTTGGGCAGCCCTGAGTGTATGGCCTTGCTAACTACAGCCCAGGTAGCCTCTCTCTTGAGCTCGCTCTGCTCACTGCTTGCAGCTTCCCTTGACGTGTGTTTCATGTTCCTGGTATCTCTAACCTCCTGGGGTCTCCACTGCAATTTGGGCTTCACTGTCACAGCTTCATATATCCTGTTCTTAAGGACTGCTTGTAAGGACATTGTTGGAGCCACATACTGCGTAGACTCCTAGGCTTTCCTTTGGAATTTTAACGGAAGCTTCTATGACCTCACAAATCTTGCATTTTACATGCCTGCAAAACCAACATCATGGGTGGGCATGGTGGCACACACCTGGAATCTCAGCACTCTGGGAGGCTGAGGCAGGAGAATCACAAGCTTGTGCAATTTAGTGAGTTAATGAGACCTTGTCTCAAAAAAAAAAAAAAAAAGAAAGAAGACTAGCTGGGGATGTAGCTTGATGTGAAAGCTACTACAGTACCATGGTAGGGAATAACAACATGAGGATGATGTCAAATCTGCCACTAGCTTGAGCTGTAGCTGGGGTCCCCTGTACTGTACTATGGCTGCAGCATCCTCTTCACATCTGGATGGCTGAACACAAGGAACCAAGTCACAGGGAAATTGTTCCGTAGACAGCCCTGTGCTGAGCTCTGGGTGACCCAGGGCTCTCAAACAAAGCTCTTTGAGCCTGAGATGAGTGGGGTCTTACTGATTCCTGAGATGCACTTAAGGCATCTTTCCTATCCTCCTGACCCAAAGTACTTGGCTTCTTTTTATTGCCAGTAATCTCTTGAACAACTTTATCCTCCTTGATCACAACTTAAGTGTTCTCTTTTTCTGGCCAAATTGTAAGTTTTTCAAATCTTTCCATTCTGCTTTTGCTCTGGATTCTTACTATATACCTGGTTGAAAGAAGTCAGTAATACCCATCCTGCTACATGAATGCTGTTCTGCCTTGAACTCCCCTCCATCAGATTTATTAGTCTGTCACTTTTTCATTTACATTTTTTGCCTTTAATATCATTCCTAATAAGAGTCCTCATTTCTATCTGAAACCTCACCAGCACAGCGCTTACAGTCTGCACTCTTAGAGTACTCTAGATTTTTGAACCTTTCCCAGAATTCCCCACTCAGCTTTGTTTATAGCATTCTGGGTTTTTGTTTATAGCATTCTAGCCTGCTTCTCCAAACACCTCCCACAAATCAGTTCCAAAGGGTTCTGAACCACACTGCCAGGTATAACTCAGTCATACCCACAACACTACTTTTTAGTACCAATTTCCTAAGTTACCTTTTTGTTGATGTGACAACATACATGAGATAAACAACTTACAAAATGCAAAAATATATTTAGGCTCAGTTTCAGTCCATGGTCAATTTCCTTTTGGGCCTTTGGCAATGCAGAACATTATGGTGAGGACTGCACTGTGAAGCAGAGGTGCCCACTTTCTGGTGGCAGGAAAGCAAAGAGAAAAGGGAAGATGCCAGGGTCCCGATATCCCCTTCAAGGACACACACTCAAGACCTAACTTCCTTCTGTTAAGTCTCATCCCTTAAAGGTTCTACCACCTTCCAATAGTCCATAGGCTGTAACACATGGCCTTTGGGGGATTTCAAGATCTAAACTATAAGGTACAAGCACCCAATGATAAATGTAAACATATTGTATACCTAAAATGTACCAATAAAAGAATTTAAGCAAAAAAAAAGATCTAAACTATATAAGTATAAATGCAAATTTTACTAATTGTCTACAAAGTATTTTTTATAGCTTGTTTTCTTTTAAGCTAGGTTTCAATCAAGGTTCATGAATTGCTTTTAGGTGTATTTTTAAATCTCCTTAGAGATGCACACAGATGTGACTTTATATGTATAACTCTGCAATCTAGCATGTTGTATAACATCATAAATATATCAAACAGAATCAAATGGAACTTTAGTGAGTGCTAAGAGTGCTTTCTGCAAAGGACATAATTCGGCTGTGGGAGGAGATGACCTAGTCAAACGTAGGGTCATTAAAATTAGTACAAGTAATCAGCATTTTCCTGTTTTATGTTAGGACATACAGAGAAAATAATATTTCCATACATGATAAGGTTAAAGGAAGGGGCTCCTTGGGACTGTCCTATTCCAAGATCTGGGAGACCTTTATCTGTAGTATGACTGGGAAAAGTTGGGACCAATACTTACCTCAACGGCATGGTTTCCCAGTTTGTGCCTGAGGTATTCTTATCTCCAACACTTATCATTTTAGGTAACCTGATATATTTCTTCCTGGAAAGAACTAAGGCAAGAGCTTTGCTCTGTCCTCTTCCATCAACCACAAATACCCATTACCCAGAAAAACAAAGACAAAGTGGTCTTTTTCCATGTTATTTATTCATAGTGAATTATCAGTAGCTACATAAGGGAGTTAAACAAATTAACAGGAGTGTTTGGGAAGCCACAGGACCTTGGGACAAATGGTGGGATTTAGACAGAAAATAATTTTACAAACAGTTAAACAAAAGATTTACAAATATTCTTTTTTAAAAAGTATCCTCTGAGGGTAACAGAAGATAAAAATCATCATGAATAAAATAAATGAATCACTTCTGATTGCTGCATTACCCAAAACCAAGTCTGCAAAAATATTTTGCAGTTCAGACTGTCATGATTTTCAGATACTGATGTGATATAGATTTCCAACACAGAAAAAGACTAACAGTAACAGATTAATGCAATGCAGAAGTAAAGCACATGAAGATAGCTGTCATCTGCTAGCAAAAATAGATGTTAATATCAAAATTAAAGACATTCAAATAAATTATACCAAAACACTGTAGCTATTATTCTTAAAATAATAAGAACAATTTCTTATTGCTCCTACTCGTAACTGAAAGGTCTGAGAAAATTCTACAATAGCTGGAAGCCATAATATAATATGTAATACATGTAGTAGACCTACACCAAAGCCCAACAGCTGAATAAACACTTTATTGTTTTTTTTTTTAGGCTTGACATCTTTAGTAGTAGAACAAGATTACTTATTAAATCTGGATAGTACAAATGAAGGACAGTGCCCTAAGCCCAAGAAATTGACTTACCAGAAATAATTAAAAGTAGGATATGAGAAAAGCAGCAGCCCAAATGAAGTAAACATTTTGAAAAAATCAGTTTGTATATTTTTTGCCTTTGGAGAGTCCTCCATGAAGCAAATAAAGGTGTGTGTGTGTGAGGGGCCATGCTGGGACATTCTGGGTACTTGGTAGATAACTGTGCTGGTATCCTAAAGGGAGCCCCACCTGTTTAGTTAGTGCCACAACCCACCTAGCTTTTGGGAGGTGAACTGCAGGTAGAAGCTGCACTGAAGCATTTATTATTTTCTGTGACTAGGGAAACACCTGCCTTAGGGTGCCCTGGGGTCTGGGAAAGGAACCCATTTGGTCCCATGCAAGACTGCAGAAGCCAGACATTCACTCCTGTAATTCGGGGTAGTCAACAGTGGCAACAAGAATATCCAATATGCACTATGGGTGCCTGTACAAGGTCCCATTTCCAAGAATATGTGATTTACCATAAATTTAGGATGGAATAATTAGGATTAAAATAGAGGTTAAAACATGTATATACAATGGTGTGGTGATTGGCATTATTTAATAGAGAGATTCAGAGTCCAGAAAACTAAATTCTACCTCAATTCTTCCCAAACAATGTCAACTTTCTGTTTTCTTTATCTTAAAAATATAAAAGCTCTTGACATATAAATCTGGTTGAAAGGAACTTTTGAGAGAAAGGACTGAAAGAAAAAAGCCATTTTCTCCTCAAGGTAGTTTAAAGATTCAAATAATGGAATGCATTAGAAAAGCCCTTTGTAAAGATACAGGTACTGGTTAGTGGTTTCAAAATTTGAGTATAGTTCTGTACCTAATTTCACTCATTTCCACCCCAAATTCAAATTAGATGACTACAAAAGTGATATTTGGTCCTGTTGTTTTTGTGATTCCAAAAGAAAGCATAAAATTAATTAAAATAACAGTATTAGAACAATTAAAGAATTTCTAAATACTGTGTGATAAAGCTACTTCCATTCAGGCTGTACATTTTGTTTTTGTTGTCTTTTTCTTCTTTGAGTCAGCCTCTGGAGCTGGCCTATTTAACAGCCAATATTACTAAAATTTCTACATTTATTCTCACATTGTGAAAATGAGGTATGTTTTCCCCAAGTATGCTTAAATTTACAGCGTGCTTCTTTATGTCTGTGAGCCGAATCTGGATAAATGCTTGAAAAGAAAAGAAAGCACACACCAAAGAATTGAATTGTATCATTCAACTGCTTAGAAATCGAAGTGCTACCCACATTGTGTTTATTTTGGTGTCTCCATAAAATGTAATAAATGCGTCTAATATTTAATGAGTTGTTTTAAAATGTCAGTCACTTGCAGACTCTAAAAGGATACTAATCCACTCTAAATAACTGTCCATTTAAACATGTAGTGCTGTCCAACTGGTTATTTGGTGTGACACTAAAATATCAGGCATCCTTTTTTTTTTTTGCGGTACCGGGGATCGAGCTCAGGATCTTGCGCTTGCGAGGCAGGTGGTGGCACCACTAAGCTAAATCCCCAAACCAGGCATCCTTTTTCTGTTGTTTTATTCCTTCATTCATAGCATTCTACATCGATGAAATTCTTTAACTATCTAAACATGTTTCTAGGAGAAATTTCTTTACCACATCACACACCTGATATTTTCATGGGTTTTTGAGTAAAAAGCTGCACAATTAGGCTTTGGTTTTAATGTAATCTGGGCAGAAGCTAGAATTGCTTTGAGAATACAATTCTACTACTGCACAAATTATATTACTGTAATTTGAAATAACACACTTTGAAAAGTTTCCCCTTTCAGTAGTATAATCTATTGAGACTGCTGCAGAACTCACAGTTACATAAATGAGAAGAAAGTGTAGGAAAGGGGTAAGACACTTAAAGCTTTATCAGAAGACAACACAAAAGAAGCACATCAACTCTACAGTTGTCTATAAGGCAGATGGTCATTCTTTTTATACAAGATCGAAAATGCGGTGCTTACTAAGAGGTAGAAAATACCAGAACAGTATTTAAGAAAAACATATTGAGTTATTTAAAATAATCAGGTTTTTTTGTTTTTTTGTTTTTTTTTTTTTGGTACCGGGGATCGAACTCGAGTCCTTGCCCTTGCAAGGCAGGTGCCGGAACCACTGAGCTAAATCCCTGGCCGTAATCAGTTATTTTGCTAAACTTTTAGAAAGTCCAACTATTGTGTGGAATACATTGTATGTTTTATAGAAACCTGGGACACTGCATATTCCACAGCTATATGGCCAAACAGGAGGGGTCACAAGCTAGGGGTGGAGTGGGTGGGAAGAGGGAAACAATTTCTTCATTTGTCAAGGATTTAGCTTTCACTAAGGAAAAATTTCCTACCATCTCTTGGGGATGCCATTAGGACATTAAATTAGTGCAGATTTCTCTGGTTGATGACAACCAGAGGGTACAATTTTACATAAGGGAACAGAACTACAGGGAGGGACAAGCGCAAATGCTTCCCCTTGTAGAAGGTGCAGTGTCCATCTTATATAAAAACATGCATTCCACTATCTTCTGCCATCCCCTTAATCACTAAAATGCAAATGGAAATCTTCAGACTCCAGCACCAGCGGAATTGTTCTGTACGAGCAATTCAAGAGCTGTCTGAGGCAAAAAGATATCTCAGCTACCAAATTAAACTTGGTAGCTTATGCATGGGTGAGTAACTCTGGGTCTTATTTCTTAATGCACCTGGGAGAGGTTGATTTTTTTCCTCCAACGTAATTTTATAAGGCATAAATTTAATTTGAATTTTCCCTAACCTTTGGGAAATTAGTGTTAAAGCTTCCTTTTTAATCCACATATTAACATTCAATCTTTCATTTTTATTAAACAGTTTATATATAAAAAGAAATATCAAGGTGTTCCACATCCATATAAATAATCATGATAACGTTTGGAATTGTAAAGAAACCCACTGAAGAAAATATATACTTCAATACTTACAATGCTAGCTAAGCACAAGGGATTATTCTGGATAACACCTTTTACACATACAGACACAGGTGGCACTGCTTCCAGAAGCAAACATGGGAAAAGTACGAGAATATATCTTTCTTCTTCTTTGCTTTTCACCACAAGACAGGATGGTTCAATTTGGAAAAACCAAAATCTTTTCTAAGTTCTAAATAGGTGCCATTGCTCACCCAAGAGTCATCACTGGATTTCCTGTGAAAGAAGAAACAGTTTCTTGTAAACTCTTGAAAATGATGTCAAGTCTTTTCTCTCCCTCCCTCTTTCCTGTCCCTTCCCCACCCCCATTATCACATACGTGTGACCCACATATGTGTGATGCTCCCACACTGGAACCGTGTGGAGACTGGAAGCTTGGAGGCATTTTATAATTTCTGACATTAATTTCTCAAACCTAGAGCCTGTGAAAAGTAGTGCTTCTGAGAGGACAAATGGAGGGATAATTTGTTGCACAGAAAACATGGCTGGATGACAGTCATCCCTTGGTAATAACTATGTAAAAGTTACACTTCAACCAGGTTGTTCATGAAAGTGGTAAGTTAACATTAAAGAAATATAGGAATAGGAAGAACTGGAGAGAACAGTCCTGCTTTACTATTTTTTTTGAATAGATAGTATGCTATAGAGATCAAATTTCCAAAGCCATAAAAGGGATAAAAGCTAAAAGTTTTCTTCCTAGCCCTGTCTCCCAGCCTCCTGGTTCTTCTACAAACAATGATGCTATCCTTTTCACTTTTTTCAGGAAGAATCCATGAATGTATGTACATGCATGGCTGCCCATATACACTGTACCCTCTCCCGTTTTTACACAGCCATGGTGCTAAACAGTGGTCCACCCCTGAATATCTGATGTAGCAAGACACAAATGATATTTTCCCATCAGCATGATCAGCAGGAGTCAACAAACTGCAGCCCAAAGGTCAAGTCTATCATTCTATCTTTGAAATACTGTTTATTGGAACAAACCCATACCCATTTGTTTAAATACCCTCTATAGTTGCTTTTTTGTTAAACAGCTGAGTTAACTGCTACTGAGACTTTATGGCTGCAAAATCAACAAGATTTATCATTTACTTTTTATAGGAAAATTCTGATGACTTCAGAGATAGGGGATTCCTCATTTTCTTTTTAAACAGTTGCATAATACTCCAGTGTATGGATAGGCCACAAGGTATCTAAGAGGCACCTTACAGATGGCCACTTAAGATTGTTTATAAATTCTAGTTATTACAAATAAAGCATATGTTACTTTGTATGTTTATAAGTATAGTTACATTAAAAATCCCTATAGTTAGCAGTGCTAGGTCAAAGAGCACTTACATGTGTAATTTTAACTGATATTGCCATAAGTTTCAGGAGCAAAAGTGGAGTACTGGTTTTCCCACATTTTCAGGAATGTGGATTTTTGTACCACACTTATTTCCCTATTCAAATAAAGGGACTTGTTTAAAATGAGCCAATCTGTATATCAGAACAAAGAGGGCTGAGCTGGCCTGTGGTGTGGTCTTCGCTTGGAATTTCCAATGGTATTTGGCTGATCCTCAAGAAGCACTAGCAGTGACACCTGGGTTCCTACATTCCTTTCCGATAGCTCTCTGTCATGTTTCTAATTTGAACAGTCCCAAGTAGGACTGCTACTGCTGAGCAACTCTCACGTTTCCCCCCAGTTTTTTAAAAAAGTTCACCTTCCAATACCTTGATAAGTTTACAAAGAGTTGAAAGGAAAAAGAGCGATGGCCACCCCAACTGCCAGTTTTCAGTCCTTTTCCATTGCAGATGTAATTCTCCTATGTTTGCAATGCCAGCGCACATAACATTCCATACCTTGCATTAGAATGTTAATTCATTTCCCATGTTGCTCCACAGGTTTGGGGAAGTCATTTTTTTAAAGAGACAAAATTCCCTTTATTGTATTATACATGAGAGAAGTACAGAGAAAAAATAAAAAGATCATGCAAAAGCTAGACTGATGATTATTATCTTAGGGTACTTCTTCATAGCTATCTGCCTTCATTATTTTTTTCACTAAATTTATTGGTACATTTTAGGTACATAGTATGCTGACATTCATCACTGGGAACTTGTATCTTTACATAATCTCTCTTGGTTCTTATTTTTTTGTTCCCCCTTCCCCTGCCCTCCCTTCAACCCCTCCACCCCTCCCTATTTACAAAGACTTTATTTCCAATTTTTCCTTTTCTCATTTATTCCTTTCCCCCACCCCTCCCTTCCTATTGGACTTTCCTTCCTATTTCACATTATCTATTATAAATTTTGATCCTTATTTACACTTTCAGTTTCTCACACCACAGAAACTATTCGGTATTTACACATGTATGTCCTATTCATTTCACTTAAGAGTATTGCTTCAATGTGCATCTATTTAGACATAAATGACTCTAGTTTCTCATTCTTTATGGCTGAGTAGTACTCCATTTTATAAAAAAACAAACATTTTCTTTATCCAGTCTCCAGCTGATGGGCAACTGGTCTATTTCCAAGTTTTACCTATTATAAAATATGCCACTATGAGCATGGGTGCACATATATCGCTGCGGTATAATACTTTTAATTCTTTAGGGAAGATACCCAGTATGGAAATAGCTGGATCAAATAGGACCTCTAATCCTAGACCTTTGAGGTATTTCCATACTGATTTCCACAGTGGTAGCACCAGTCTACACTCCCACCAACAATGGAGAAGAGTTCCTTTCTCCCCACAGCCCTGCCAGCATTTGTTATTGGTTGATTTCATGATAGCAACCATTCTTTTGGGCTGAGGTGGAATCTTGGCATTGTTTTCATTTGCATCTCTCGAATGACCAGTGATGTTGAACATTTTTTCATGTTTATTTGCTATTTCTACTTCTTTGTCTGAGAAATGTCTGTTCATTTCAGATCCCCATTTTTGGATTGGGTCTTTAAATCTGGGAGGTCTGATTTTTAAAAATTCTTTATATATTCTAGATAGTAGACCTTTGTCTGAGGAACAGCTGGTAAAAATTTTTTCCCACATTGTGAGTTGTCTCTTGGTGCTGTTGTTGTTTTCTCTTGCCATGCAGAAGCTTTTTAATAAGGAGAGATCCCACTTGTTCATTCTTTGTGCTAGATCATGTGCAACTGAAGTTTTGTTCATGAAATCCTTTCCTACACGAATGTCTTCAAGAATTCTACCTAACCTCTCTTCCAGTCAGTTTAGTGTTTCTATTTTAATATTTAGATCTTTAATACACTTCAATTTTAGTTTATTGCATGGTGAGAGATATAGGTCTAGTTTTGGTGTTTTTTTTTGGTACCAGGGATTGGATATAGGTCTAGTTTTAATCTTTGGCAAACTGAAACCTAGTTTTTCCAGCACTATTTATGAAAGAGGCTATCTTTCCTTCAGTGAGGGTGTTTGGCTCCTTTGTTGAAGATGAGGTGGCTGAGTGTGTCTGGAGTTGTTTCTGCAACTTCTAATCAGTTCCACTGATCCTTGGGTCTGTTTCTTTGCCAGTAGCATGCTGTTTTTATCATAGTAGCTTTGTAGTATAGTTGCAAGTTGGGGATTGTGATACCCCCTACCTTGTCTTTGTTGCCTAAAACTGCTTTTGCTATTCTAGGTTTTTTCTTGTTCCAAATGAACTTTTGGATTCTTTTCTCAAGGTCTGTGAAGTATGCTGTTGGGATTTCAATTGGGATGGCACTGAACCTATATAGCAGTTTTGGAAGTATGGCCATTTTCACTATGTTGAGTCTTCCTACCCAGGAGTAAGGGATGTCTTTCCATTGTCTGATATCCTTTTTGATCTCTTTATTCAGAGTGCTGTAGTTTTCAGAGTAGAGGTCTTTGATTTCTTTCATTAAGTTGATTCCTAGGTATTTCATTTTTTTGGATGCTATTGTGAAGAGCTGTTTCTCCAGTTCCTCTCTCAGCGAGTCTGTAGTTCATGTACAGGAAGGCTATTAACTTTTGTGTGTTGACCTTGTATCTATCTAGGTACTCTACTGAATCTGGTTATTAAGTCTGGCAGACTTTTGGTAGAGTTCTTGGGGTCTTCTATACAGTATCATGTCATCTGCAAATAGTGACAAATTAACTTCTTTGTTTCCCATCTTTATTCCTTTTCTTTCTCTTGTCTAATTGCTATGGCTAATGTTTCCAAAACTATATTGAACAGGAGTGCTGATAGTGGACATCCTTGTCTTGATCCTGATTCTAGTGGGAAGGATTTCAGTTTTTGACCATTTAGTATGACATTGGCTGTTGGTTTTTCATAGATGGCTTTTTTTTTTGGTACTGGGGATCAAACTCGGGTCCTTGCGCTTGCACAGCAGGCAGCAAAACCACTGAGCTAAATCCCCAGCCCCTATAGATGGCCTTTATCAGGTTGAAATAGAGACTGTCTTTTCCAATTTTCTATTGGGGTTTTATCATGAATGGGTGTTGGATTTTGTCAAAGGCTTTTTCTGCATCTATTGACATGATCATATGGTTTTTGTTCTTGGCTTTATTAATATAGTGTATTACATTAATTGATTTGCGTATGTTGAACCATCCCTGCATCCCTGGGATGAATCCTACTTGGTCAGGGATTATGATCCTCTTGATGTTCTTCATTCTGTTTGCCAGTATCTTATTGAGGTTTTTTGCATCTATATTCATGAGTGAGATTGGCCTATAATTCTCTTTTTAGGTTGGGTCTTTCTCTGCTTTGGGGATCAAGGTGACACTTATTGCCTGAATGAATTTGGGAGTATTGCTTTCCTTTCAATTTCATTGAAGAGTTTAAACAGTAATGGCAACAGTTCTCTAAATGTATTGTAGAATTCGGCAGTGAAGCCATCAGGATCCAGGCTTTTCTTTGTTGGTAAGTTTTTAATTAAGTTTTCAATTTCATTGATTGATATTGGGTTGTTTAGAATTTTTAGGTCATCTTCATTCAACTTTGGTAATTCATATGTATTAGAAATCTGTCCATTTCGTCTGTGTTTTCCATCTTATTGGTGTATAGGTTCTTTTTTGTTGTTGTTTTTATTTTCATTTTTTGGTACCAGGGATCGAACTCGGACCTTGTGCTTGCGAGGCAGGAGGCGGAACTACTGAGCTAAATCCCCAGCCTGTGTATAGGTTCTTGAAGTAGGTATTGATGATCCTCTGGATTTCTGCTGGGTCTGTTGTAATTTCATCCTTTTCTTTCCTAATTGCATGGATTTGTTTTTTTTGGGAAGTTGTCATTTTTGTTTATTCTTTCAAAGAACCAACTTTTTGCTTCATTGATGTTTTTGTATCATTCTTAGTCTCCATTGCATTGATTTCTGCTCTGACCTTTATAATTTCCTCCCTTGTACGAGCCTTGGGTTTGTTCTGCTCTTCTGCTTCTAGAAGCGTGAGGTTCCACATTAGATTTTTTATTTGTGCTTGCTGTTTTCCTAATATGAGAATTCACTGCTATGAATTTCCCTCATAAGACTGCTTTCATTGTGTCCCATAGATTCCAATATGTTGTACTGGCATTGTGATTTAATTGTAGAAACTGTCTGATTTCTTAATTGCTTCTGTGACCCATTAGTTGTTCAGAAGTGTGTTCAATTTCCATGTTTATGAAATTCTTGCGGTTTCTTTTGCTATTGATCTCCAATTTCATCACACTATGGTCTGATAATATACAAAGGATAACATCAATTCCTTTGCACTTACTTAAACATGTTCTATGAGTGAGTAGGTGGTGTATTTTGGAGAACAACCGTGTGCAGCTGAAAAGAATGTGTATTCTGATTTTGTGGGGTGAAACACTCTGTAAACATCTGTTAATTCCATTTGTTCAAGAGTTTGAGTTCTAGTTTTTTGTAATTTTTTTGTCTGGTTGATGTATTTGTGACACTGGGGTATTGAGGTCTCCCACTACTACTGTATTAGTGCTTATTTGATTTTTCATGTCTATTGCTATTTGCTTTATATAGTTGGGTGCACTAGTGCTTGGTGCATATATATTTATGATTGTCATCTCTTCCTCTTGGATCGTTCTTTGTACATGGATGTAGTGGCCTTTTTTGTCTCCCTTTTGTTTGTGGGGGGGATACTGGGGATCGAACTCAGGACTTTGTGCTTGTGAGGCAGGCGGTTGAAGCACTGAGCTAAATCCCTGGCCCTTCTTTGTCTCTTTTAAGTAGTGTTGGTTTGAAATCCACTTGATCTGCAAATAGGATAGCTACTCCTGCTTTTTTTCAGGTTCCTGTTGCATGGAGTATTGTTTTCTACCTTTTAACTTTCATTTTATGAGTTTCTTTTTGAATTATGTGTTTCTTGAATGCAGCTTATTGTTGGATCTTGCTTCTTGACCCATTCTGCCAATCTATTTCTTTTGATTGGTGAATTGAGACCATTAATCTTGATTGTGGTAATTGATATGTACCAACATATCCTTGTCATGACCTTTTCTCATTGTTAAATTCTCCCCCTTTGCATTTATTTTCTTGTCTTCCCTGATGGATTCATTCTGCGGGGCTTCCTGGGGTTGTGATCCTCATCTTTTACTAGGATATTGTTTAAAATTTTTTTGAGTGCTGGTTTGGTATTCATGAAGTTCCTCAGGTGCTCTTCATCATGAAGGTATCTTATTTCTCCATCAATTTTGAGAGATCGTTTTGCAGGGTCCACCAATCTGGGTTGGAGGTTGTTTTCTTTTAGGGCTTGAAATACTTCACCGCAGGCTCTTCTTGCCTTGAGGGTTTGTGTTGAGAAGTGTGCTGTGATTCTGATGGGTTTTCCTTTGTATGTAATTTGTTTCTTTTCTCTAAATGCTTGTAGGATTTTGTTCTGTTGGGTTTCTGGAATCTTAACTATTATATGCCTAGGTGTAGATTTTTTTATCACAGGTAGTTGGAGTCCTACATGCCTCACTTGTCTGTATGTCAAATTCTTTTCCCCTTCTTGGAAAGTTTTCTGCCCTTACTTTTGTGAATAATTGTTTTTCTTTTTTATGTCATGTGCACTCTCTCCTGTTTCTTCACTGATTCCGATCAGTCTTATGTTATTCTTCTTTGCATCATCTAGCAGCTGCTGGGTTGATTTCTCATGGTCCCGTACTATTTCTAAGAAATTTTTATTTTCCTGGTCACTAACTCATCCTGTCTTCTATATCTGATATTCCGTCCTCACATTGGCTTAATCTGCTGCATTAACTTTCAATGGAGTTTTTAATTTCCTGGATATGTTTGCATCTGTTTTATGGATTCCATTTGATTCCTATGCTGGGATTCCATCATGTTCCTCAGTGCCTCTATTTTTTTTATCTGTGTCTGCTCTAGTTTTTAATCATGTCTTTCACTGTGGACACAATCTCTGTTGTTATCTAAGAAATTATTTCTGATTTCATTTTTTCCAGATCCTCTTTCGTTGCCAGTTCAGGGAGTCCAGGTAGTTGAGCATCAGATTGTTCCATCTCGTTGCCCTTTGGAGTTCCCTTAGGTGATCTGGAAGTCTGATTTTGAGGTTTGTTTACATGTCTTCTCATTTCAACAGATGCAGTCTGCTGCACCTTTGTTGAGGTGACTTTTTGATCACCTAGTGGGCTTCAATTCTCAGCAAGCCTAAGAGAGGCCTTCTCTCTGCTGGCTGGGGTCTGTGCTCCTGAGTTGCTGGTGCCCGAGCAGCCTTCTGGCTAGGGTCTGCATCCACTTACCAATGGTACCTGGCTGTTGCCCATGCAGCTCTTTCCATGTGGGTCTCTGACTGCCACCTGTGGGCCCAAGCTGCTCATGTCTGGGTGGGGCCCTGGCTGGGACCTGCACACCTGTGCTGCTCTCTTCCACATAAGCTTCTCACTGGGATTTGTGTGCTCTTACTGATGGTATCTTGTGAAGTCATTTTTAATACTTTCATGTTAGACCAACTTGATTCATCTCTGTAACTGGTCCTTGAGATAGTCTGATTACCTACAATTTTTAATGATCCTAAAATATACAGTAACAGACATCTTTATAAGTATAGATTTTCCTCTTTTTTAAAAACTGAAACTATATGATTTATGAAAGAAAAGAAAAAGAACCAATCTAAGGGTATATGTGTGTCTCGTCTACTGGTCAGTAAATCAATAGGTCAAGGTTTTCTATCCCTTGCTTTTTTCAATAAAGAATTTAAGGTATCTATTTTAGTTTTCAAATGTTTAAATAAAGTTAGGAATACTGCAAGATGGAGCTCTGGTGAGTTGATCTTCAACTGCTAAAATCATGAGTTTGAAGGATCAGAAAGGACCTGGTAAAATCTATACCACCCTGAGGGAAAAGATACTACGTTTTAAAGAGAAAACATGACTTGTTGCTATTCTAATGTTTTGAAATACATATTTTATTGCGGTTGCTGAGAGATCAGTAGCTAACTCTTTCTAAATGTTACTTCTGTTGTCCGTTACCAACAAACAGAAACAAAAAGCAAAAACAACAAAATACTGATTGCCTAGAGAGCAGGGTTGGGGTGGAAGACAGACTGCAGAAACTTGCCTCTCCTCTACATATTGTCTGAACTTTGATTTTTTTTTTAAGACCAAATAATTTAAAACCATCTAGAGCCCTAGCCTAGGAGTGAGGAGGGCGAGGGGCCCATCTGAAACATTCCACAGGGCCCCTCATCAAATCACTTTCATTCCCTGAACCTTTGGGGTTTTTTTCAGTTAAAAAATCTTTTAAAAATTTAAATCTATTTTAAACAAGAACCTCTTAATGGGTTTGGTTTGTTTTGTTGAAATATGATCTTGCTATGTAGTTCAGGCTGGCCTTGAACTCATGGTGAGCCTCTCCAAGTGCTGGGATTACAAGTGTGCACCACCATGCCCAGAAGGCAGGTTGTTTTAAAAATAAGTTAATTGGGCCAGGGATTTAGCTCAGTGGTTCCGGCACCTGCCTGGAAAGCACAAGGTCCCGAGTTTGATCCCTGGTACCAAGAAACAAAAAACAGTTAGTGTTCCAAATCCAAGCCTCAGGGTATTGGAACTGCTACTCAAGAGTTACACTACTTGGAATTCCATTTTGGTCACTAGTGGGATGATGGTTAATTATCTCTGTCACTGCATCAAAAACAAAAAATCTAAAATAAATAATATCCATGTGGGTGGCCAAGCTTAGCCACGAATATGATCAGGTGGCCTGGGATTGGGGCCATAGTACCCACTGAGACCTGCCTCTACAAAGGCACCTCAGGGCCCCAGAGAAAGAACAGAGGGTGGGAAAGGGAAGGTGCTGGTTCTGGTGGCAGACAGGGAGAACCACCAAGGTTGGGCCAGGCTCAGAGGAGGGTTTTGCCCTTCTGGAGCAGAGGCTTGATCATGGAGAAGCTGGCCTTGGGGCAGGGGACACTTTTCTCTTCTTTCTCCAGATGGGCACTACAGAAAGCTGGTATCCCCTCTCAAGCCACTACCCCCTGATGGATCCAGGCACACACCTGAAAAACCGTGGCTGATGTTCCATGTTATTTTCTTCTAAGATCCGCCGCCTTTCTCTCTGCTGCTGTTCAATCATTTGCTTTTGTATTTCGGCTTCTTCTATGTTTCCTTCTTCTAGAAACCTGAGACATTGAGGGAAAAATAGTGAAGAAATATTATTTCCAAGAAAACAAAACAATCATTACTACTAAACTTTCATATGTCTAAGACTGGATATTCAAAATCCTCTTCCACATCTAAGATCCCTCTCCTAACTCTTGAAACAGTATTTTGAGGTAAAGAGGGAATATATTAGTTTATGAAATGGTGGTATTTACATGGTTCAGAAAATGTCATCTATGAAAAGCAATTTGAGACAAAGTCTCCCTATCTTTCTTGTCTCCAATTCCACCTGTTACTATCTCATTCCATACCCCTTCACCCTTCTATCACAGTGAACCCATTATTAGTTTCTTGTATATTTTTATATTCTTTTGTATATTTATGCAAATATATATTCATATCCCTTCATCCCTTTTAAAATCATAAACAGTAGCATACTGTATATACTATTTATTCATCTTGGTTTTTTGTTTTACTTCATACTTAAAAATGTATCTTGAAGATCTTTGTTCTTCTTTTTCTTGTTTTGTTGTTGTTGTTGTTGTTGTTATTGTTCTTTGGCAGGGTAGGGTTGAGGCTGGCCTTGAACTCACTACCTAATCCAGACGGGCCTTGAACAAATAGCCATCATCCTGCCTCAGCCTCCTGAGTACTGGGGATTATAGGCATATGTCACCATACCCGGCTTGAAGATCTTTTTGTGGTAGTACATAAATATCTTCATTTTTAATAGCTAAATAATATTTAGTTACAAGATATACCTTAATTTATTTAAACAACTCCCTATTGATAAATATTTGGGTTGTTCCTAGTTTTTAATGTAACTACGCTGCAGCTAATAGCTTTGCATATACATTACATCTGGAAAAGTATATTTGTAGGAGAAATTTCTGTAAGATTGCTGGGCTAAAGGATGAATCTGTAGTTTGTATTTTATAAACTGCCCTTGATGGGGATTACAGCAATTTACATCCCTATCAGCGTGAACACCCTGCCCCACTTGCCTCAAAGTATATCAGAAATAATATTTTCACATGGTTTTAAAATTTATCATTTTCCATATTATAAGTAAAGCTGTATGTTTAAGAAAGACCTGCATTTCCTCTTCTGTGAATGGTTCATTTTCCTATGTCCATTTTTTTCTAATGGGTTCATCTATTACTTGATTTCTAGAATTAATTCATGATATGAGTTATAAATACAGATTTCTGTGTGTCATTTATCTTTTTTTTTTTGGTACCTGGGATCAAACTGAGGACCTTGTGCTTGTGAGGGAGGCAGTGGCACCACTGAGCTAAATCCCCAGCCCTCATTTACCTTTTCACCTTAGTATAAATTCTTTTTTTTTTTTTTTTTGTTACTGGGGATCAAACTCAGGTCCTTGTGCTTGCGAGGCAGGCAGCGGAACCACTGAGCTAGATCCCCAACCCCTTAGTATATATTCTTATTTACTTTGCCACTAAGGTCTTTATTTTTTAAAAATAAAGCCAAATGCAGTCATCTTTTCTTTCTTTTGGCTTCTGGATTTGGAGTTTTAATTAGGCCTAAGAGGACAGAGTATTATTTCCATCTTAAAGAGTAGGAAACTTAGATTTAAAAATTTATCATATTTCACACCACTTATTGGCAGTAAAACTAGTATTTGAGGGGTCACGGGAGCTGAATGCTTTATATTCTTTCAAATACACAGTAAGGTTTTTAATCATTGTATGAAGTTTAACTCTTCAAATTAAGACTATTTTGGGGAGGATATTTCAGTAGAAATGGGACTCCACTGACAAAGGCCATCCTACATGTGGCCAGAAGCTGGCCTCCATTTCCCGTGACATGATTATTTAAAGTCCTCTTACACCCTTTGCACTCCTGATGACATTATTCACCTCTCTCAGGCTCCTCTGGTGGCCTGGGAGTTGTTTAATAATAGAACTTTTATAAATAATTTTTTTTGTATCTCTGAAAAAAAGATCTTTAAAAAACCCTTACCTTTGATCTGGTCTAAATCGAGTGTCAGTAGGTGGTAATAAAGACTTTGACAAGGGGTCCATTTCATTCAACTCTAATGCAAACTGTGTGAAGCCATAAAATTGCTCATAGCCTTTTGGCATGGGATCTGAAAGAAAAATCATTCATCCCTTATTTGCCCTTCATTGAGATTACATTTTAATTCCTTCACCTTTTTCATCCCAAAATGGCTACCATTCTTCTCTCTCAGCTCTAAAGTATTCCATTTTTATTAAAATATTCTGACTAACAAATAGGTATTAAATATTTCTCTATATGTTTTCTTCTATCTAAAGAGATACAACTTCCTTTGTTTGTTCCTATATTGAATTTATACAATGTTGTGAAGTTTCTGTACTACTGGAGCTATAAAGTAATTTACTATTAAAATAAATATGCCAAAAAAAACAATGAGTCTATTTTTTCTGACCAACAGGACTCCCACTCTTGAGAATCCATTTTTTATCTAAGTGATGTCAAACTCTCCTGAAACTAAATGGTGTTGTAAATAGTAAATGGTAAATAAATGTTTTTCTTCCATTCCTGCTTTTTCTTTTCACCAGTCTTGTTCCCTACAGGCTTACATCTTTAACTTTAACTTTAGTGTATTGCCCTAACTTAAATTCCACTAAAAATCGGGCTAAAAACATTCGAGTTTACGTATCAGGTAAACCAAATGTAGACCAATAAAATCCACCCATAGCCTCAGCTCTCTTTCTTCACACACAAATATAAATGCTTTCCATGAACTTTTCTGCAGATCTACTTTCTGAAGCTTTAGAAGTCCTCCCTGTAACTTGTCTAACCCTCCTTAGAGCTTAAACATGAAAATACTACCAAAGCTTCCCACTAGGTCTGCCACCGCAGTCCCCCAATCAACAGAGAGTGAAAATAGCAGTTTTTCTTAAAGATGGGGAATCTTTAAAGGACGCTCACAGAAAATGCAGAAACATAAAGTCAAGGAATAACAACACCAACAATTTCAACAGCATTTCTTTGTCAAGGTTTATAACATCTAGAGAGTTTGGCAGCTCCCATTGGTGAAACATACTTTAAACAAAGGAGCGAGACTGTTCCACTTGCAAAATCTCATGCAGGCCTCTGAAGAAGGAAAACAACCACTGGAACAATTTATTCCAGCTTCCTTGCAACCGTGGTGATGATGGACAATGTGGTTGCTACTCACTGAAGGGGACATGGCCGCCTGATGCTCTTCATTCATTTCTCTTCCTTGCTAAGGGAACATTGATTCTGTTCAGGGGGCATGTGTCTTTCCCAAGGGATGAACCTAACTCCATCAGAATCCCTCCTGCCCACTCTGTTGCTCATGATTGGTTTCAGAAACAGCTTTGGAACCACTTCAGTCTGATGTGATATAGAGGTGTATGTGCTTGGGGATCCTGAGAAACACTGCATCCCTGGGAAATAAGAGGTGCACAAGAAGCACACTCTTCTCCTCCCCTCCTTTTCTGTTTGGTATGCAGTAGAGCGGGGATATGATACTGAGCCACGGTGACCACTTTACAACCATGGGTGGAAACATGAGGCACACTGGGAGTGGCAGGATGTGCCCTCATTGGTCTGTGTCTTGACATGGGTAAGGTGCCAGGGTACCAACCTGGGGCCACCAACCCTCACTGTCAAGCAGTGTCAAGACACCATTATGGTTTAAGACACTAATAGAGGAGTTTTTCTTTGTTTCCTTTCTATTAGTCTGAAGCATTCCAGCGGCTGTGTCTCAGACGAATGGTTTTACAATGCGATCCTCACTTGGACTCATCTATGGTGGTAAAATGTGTAGGGACATGCTGCAGAACACTGGACTGCCCCAGCCCTTCTCCCCAGCTGCTTAAAGTACTTGGTGTCCTGGAATCATAGAGGAGATCAGGATGGTCTATGGGACTGGATCAATCCAGAGACTCCTCACTCTTGTGGAACCCCCAGGTTACTGTTTTTCCAGTTAACACTGTTCTCTTGCTCTTTATTCTGGAATGACTTCTTGCAGTTCACTGACTCTCCTTCAGAGTGCCCCAGAGAATCCTGGGTGTGGACCCAAGACCCTCCACACTGCCCATCTACTTGCATTCTGGGGTTAAGAACCTGGGACCTAGCAGCCACAGTGAGACAGCTGGATGGCCGATACCTCTAGCCTTGATCAAAGCCAGGAGAGGCTAGGGACATAGAACAGAACCGATCCCCTCCCCCAGCTTCCTCTGGCTTCACCCAGCTGCCCTCTCCCTGCCTGAGGTCACTGAGCCAGGACTCTCACTTGCTCTCCAGATGCACATGGATGAAGAGGAGCTGCCACTGCAGTAGATGCTCTCGTGCCACTTCCCAAACAGCCGGTGCACTGCTTGTCCACTCCGGTCGAATACTGTGCCTTCGATCTCGTGGGCATTAGGGCTCCAGTATTTTGCCTAGGATGCAAAGGGGGTTATTGTGTAGTACTTTGGCTCCAGCTAAAGTGAAGCCAGAGAAAAGAACAGTAAGAATAGCTGCATACTGTGGATCGTTTGCCAGTTCTGGATTCTACATGCTTTTAGTTGACAAAAAACCCCAGAACAGAACAGAACAAAACAAAAACCTGTATATATTTATCCTATATAATACAATGTTTTGAAATATGTATATATTGAAGGCTGGCTGGCTAAATCAAACTAATTAACATATGTTTTACCACACATATTTTGGTAAGAGCCCTTAAAAATTATCCCCTTGTCATTTTTAGGTATATGGTACATCATTATTAAGGATGTCCACCATGTAGTACAACAGATCTCTTGACCATGTTCCTCAGGTTTCAGTGAAATTTTTTATCTTTTGACCAGCATTTCTGACCCATTACCCCACACCTGGTAACTTCCATTCTACTCTTTGCTGCTTCTTTTATTAGTTGTTTTAAAAATTTTTATTAGTATATGTTTACAGTATATAATGAGTATATTCTAATGCTGAGTTAGTACATGTACATAGCACATCTAAATTATTTTTATTTCCTTTTGTCCTCCCCTACTGCTCCCCTCCCTCCTTCTCCTTACTCTTTGCTTCTATGTACTAATTTATATTTCTACCAACAGCATGCAAAAGTTCCCTTTTTTCCACATCCTTACCAACACTTATCTTTTTTTGGGGGGGGGTACTGGGGATCCAACTCCAGACCTTGCACTTTCGAGGCAGGTGGCAGAACCACTGAGCTAAATCCCTGGCTCTTTTATCTTTTTGATAACAGCCATTCTGAGAGGTATAAGATGATGTACCTGCTATGATTTTAATTTGCATTTCTCTGACAGTTAGTGATCTTGACCATTTTTTCATGTATCTCTTGGCCATCTATAAGACTTATTTTGAGAAATATCTGTTTAAGTCTCCTTCCACCCCTTTTTGTGGTGCTGAAGATCAAACCAGCTTGACTTATATATGCTAGGCAAGTACTCTTCCACTAAGTTACATCCTCAGCCCCTTTGTCCATTTCTAAACCAGATTATTTGTTTTATTGCCATTGAGTTCCTTATATATTATTACCTCACTAGGTGGACAGTTTGCAAATATTTCCTCCTATTCTGTAGGTTGTTTCTTTACTTTGATTATTTCCTTTGCCATGCAAAATTCTTTTGGCTTTCTGTCATCCCATTTACCTATTTTTACTTTTGTTGAATGTGCTTTTGGCACTCTTTTGTTTAAAGCACTGTACAGACTGATGTCACTGTTTTTCCCAGTATGTTTTTGAGCAATTTTACTATTTCAGGTTTTATATTTTAAGTCTCTAAATCATTTTGAGTTTTGCATATGGTGTGAGTGAGATAAAGGTCTAACTTCATTCTTTTGCAATTCAGTTTTCCAACACCATTTTATTGAAGGGACTGTCCCTTTCCCGCTGTGTCTTCCCGGTATCTGTCAAAAGTCAATTCACTGTAAAATCATGGATGTATTTCTGGGCTCTCCATTCTGTTCCCACTGGCCTATGTGTGTGTATTTATGCCTGGGTTAGGCTTTTCTTCTTCTTTTTTTAAATAATCATACCTTTAGTTATTTAATAAAATTAATAGTTACCTATTTGTAGTTTGTAACTTGATAATCAACATTTGTATAAATTACTTTTTTTTCTACTTCCGCTGTATGCAACGTAGGCATGAAAGGCTCAGTTCCACTTTCAGACACTGGGCCAAGCAGTGTGGCTGCTCTGTAAGGCCCGCCTATGGCGCAGCTCTTCCATGGCTGTCACCGTGGCTCTTAGTACACTGTGATTCTACTACCATTTAAAAGAAATTTAACTTTTTTTTTCTCTAAAAGAACTGGTTAGTCATTTGCAAACCTATCAAGGAGGTTGCTTACATTTCAGTTTCTTTTATTATTCTTCCTGAAACAAGGGCTGTTCACGCAGTCCATGCAGCCCCCACGCTCACACGTTCCAGCTCCCGGCTCAGCCCAGCACAGCTCGGGTCAGCCTGTTAGTTTTATACAGTACCACACTCCAGCCAGCAGAGGGAGCTCCAACTCCCTAGAGTTGATTTTTTTTTTTTTTTTCCTTCCAAATATCCCAACTATCCTACCTGGCTGCACTTAAAAATCGCTAGGAAAGAACAGAAAGCATTTCTCCATAAATTAAAAATCTTAGCACTATTTTCAGCTGAAATAGAATCTATATTTGGAAACCAATAACTTTGAGCAGCATTTTTAGGGCATATCCTGGTGGTTCAGTTTCTCTACTCCAAGACTGGGAAAAACGGGAAAAGCGAGGCATAGCAGCATCTCACAGGTGAAGCAGAAATTTTAAAATGAATTTTCTAGTTATATAAAAATGCAGGGAGGGAGAAATGGAAGGGAGGGAGAAGGACAGGAGAGGAGA